AAAGTTCTATTATTAAAATTGTTATTTATTCGTTTATTTATTTTAAGTCACACAAATCAGGATAATATCCTCCTTTTACTTTTCACTTAAACCAAATCTGAAAATATATATATAAAAAAAAAAAAAAAGAACAAAAATACACTTTCTGTTTTTTTTATTTTTATTTTTTATAATTGTTTCTATTTTTTCAAAGTTTTATATTTTAAGTTCTATTATTAAAATTATTTATTTATTATTATTATTTTTCAAGTCACACAAAACAGGATAATATCATCCTTTCACTTTTCACTTAAACCCAAATTGAAAGGAAAACTGAAAATATGAAAATAAAGTATTATATTAATATTAATAAATGCTATAATATTCTATAAATATACCTAAAATAACACTGACCCCCAAGTCTGAGCAGTAGTAAAATGCCTGTGTAATAATGTTGTGTTATTAGTGTCTCACTGTTGGCTACATTCTTTGAAGACGCGCCGCACTTCCAGCGACTGCCTGCAGAGGTCCCCGCTGTCCAGCCTGACGCCCAGCGGCCGGTACTGCAGCTCATACAGAGCCAGAGCCACGGCACAGAAACACAGCAGACCGCTGCTGCAGCACAAACACACACATCTGTCAAACACAGCACAGCACACCACACTACTGATTGATCACGTGTCTCTGAGAATGTCCTACCAGCTGACGCTGTAGCTGTCAATCACAGGCAGGAAGTTTTGCGGGTAGGCGATGGCGTAGGACAGGAAGGCCGCCAGCTCTCCCTCCCGAACGAGGCTCGTCTTTGACCCCAACAGCTGGCAGACGCGACCCAGCCAGCCCTTCACCAGACAGATGAAGTCAATAGGGCCTCCGCCGCCGCAGGGCACCAGAGTCTGTCAAATCAACACATATGGTTTATCATTTGAGGTCAGTAAAAGAAATTAATACTTTTATTCAGCAAGGATGCATTAAATTGATCAATACATCACAGTTTCCACAAAAATATGAAGCAGCACAACTGTTTTCAACATTGATAATAATCAGAAATGTTTCTTGAGCAGCAAATCAGAATATTAGAATGATTTCTGAAGATCATGTGACACTGAAGACTGGAGTAATGATGCTGAAAATACAGCTGCGCATCACAGGAATAAATTACAGTTTACAATATATTCACATAGAAAACATTTTACATTGTAATCATTTTTTTTTAATTATGTATTTTTGATCAAATAAATGCAGCCTTGGTAAGCAGAAGAGAGTTATAAAAACATAAAAAGTCTTAATTATATCTATATTATATCTATATATATATATATATTTAGTTCAAATCTAATTTTTCTATATTGTCTAGAAAAATTGTCTATATTGTATTAAAATACTGATATTTTTCATATATATTCACATATATGAAATATTGTAATATATATATGTTTTTGAAATAAGAATCTAATACATACAGTATATATAAAAATGTGTGTATATATATATATATATATATGAAAATATTGCATACATGAAAATGTTTTTGAAATAAGTATCTAATACATATATATAAAAATGTTAATTATTTTTGACTACTGGTCAAAAGTTTGGAATATTTTTTTTAAACTGGACATTTTTTAGATATTAGATTTTTGGAAGAATTAAGATTTATATGTGTGTTAGGGACTTATTTGAAAGTCATTAAAAAAATAATAATAATTACCGACCCCAAACATCAGAACGGTAGTTTATATATAAACAAATATGAAAAATCTGCACACCCACCTGTGGCCACACCTCCTCCAGAGAGGAAAAGGAAGTGACATAAGAGTGCGCCATGGTTCCCGCCACAGGAATGCCAAACAGACGGCCGGCGAGAGCGTTACTCGTCAAATCAAAACCTGG